TAAGATCTTTAAGCAAAAACAAAAACAAAACTTAAAACAAAATGGGATGCTTTCTTACCACTAACAAAGTCTACCACATTGGAACAGTCTACCACATTGGAAACCCTGAATTTATTCTTCACCACTCAGTTCTTATTTCTCTCATGGAAGTAGCCCTAAAACTATCAATTATGCCTCAGAAAGTTCTCAAATGTATACTCTTCAACTGCTCAGGTTATTTCCTCCCCAAAAAACTCACTCTCTTACCTAAGATCTTCTGATGGTTCTCCATTATTCACAAGAGATTAATTTAGTAAGGAAAAGCTTTATTGGTAAAGCTTTTCACAATCTCAGCCTCAGCAATAACTACTTCCCCTCAAGCGCCCTACTCTCCAATAATTTCCTAAATGTATCTTCTGCTTCTTTCATACGTACATGCCTTTCCTTTTCCCTTGAATGTGCTCTATACCAGTCTTCCAAACTCTGAGAATAAGAATCAGGTGGGGTGCTTGTTAGTAAGTACAGCTGTCCATACCCCTCCCTGGGTCTAATTTAGAGGGTCTGGGATGGGTCCTGGGAAGCTAGATCTTTAACAAGTGCTCTCACATTCATTCTTATCAGATCAGTTTAAAAAACAGTTTTCTCTTTTACTCCACCTTCAGAATATAATTCTGTTATCCTTTCAACTGGGAAAGTTTTGAGTGCTCAAACAAAATTCAGTCCTCCAGGACATCAGGCACCTGCTATGGTAGCAATCGCTACGTGCTAGCACTAGCCAGCAATACTGTAATTCACCTGACCAAAAAAACTTTCAGTGGATTCTATTAGCTAGCAAATAAAATCTGCACTCAATTTAGCAAACCTATCCTAGATTTGATACAAAATTGAATAAGACATGGTCTCTGACCTCAAGGAGCTCACAAAGTCTAGGGAAGAATATCTCTGCTTGGCATTTAAAGTCTTTCAAATTTTTGCCCAACCTACCTTTCTCATTATCGCTCAAAGGCCTCTCCATAGTCTGTGCTCACCATAGCCTCAGACCCTTAAAGGTGCTGTTCCTTCTATTTGGAATGCTCTTTCGCTTTCCCATTTGAGCTGGTTTGTTTCTGCTTTTCCTTTAGCGGTTACCTCAAGTATCTTTTTCTTAGGAAATTCTTTGTTCTCCTGACTAGGACAAATCCTGCTGTTACTACATTCACTCTGTATCTCCTTCAAAGCATTTGCCCCAGATTTGATTTTGTATTTGTATGATTATTTGATTAGCGTTTGTCTCCCTATCTAAGCTGTAAGCTCCATGAGGACAGGGGCCTGGTTTGGTGATTATATAGATATTCACCGTAGAACTCTTTGTTAATCTGTCTCCCTATGTTTATGCAGTCTTCTGCAGATTTTTTCTACCTCTGAATAACAGTTTATTTTGCATACCATATTCTACATTAAATCTTTGAACATCCTAAGTTCAAACCTTAACAGTTATAACAGCTAAAATTCTGAGTACTTTATTATTGTACCAGGCACTTAAATTGATCATTTAATCTTAACACTTTTAGATATTATTGTTCTCATTTCATAGAATTTCTTAGAAAAATTATTCAACTCCTGCCTCCTTGTCTCCAGCATCAGAAACTGCTCTCCCTCTTCATCTCCTCATTGACTTAATTGATTACACTTACCAGCTATCTTCCTGGTGAACCTCATAAACTAATCTCTTAGTCTGGAATTCTTTCTCCTTTCCCCAGTTTACCTATCTCCTCCTCATCTTTCAGCTCTCAAAAGAGGCTTTTAAGACTTGTTTCCCCCCCCCACCCCCGCCGGTTTCCTATTGTTGCTGTAACAAATTACCACAAATTTAGTAACTTTAAACACTGTAAATTTTTTACCTTACCTTACTGGAGGTCAGAAGTCCTAAAACCCGTCTGTTGGCACGGCTGTGTTCCTTCTGAGAGTTCAAAGGGAGAATCCAATTTCTTGTCTTTTTCAGCTTCTAAAAACTACCTGTGTTCCTTGGCTCATGACAACGCCTTCCTCCATCTTCAAGGACAAAATGGCATCCTTGAACGTCTCTCTTCCTGCCCTTCATGCTTCCCCGCTTACATCAGTCTCCTCTTACTCTGACCCTTCTGCCTTCCTCTCTTAAAAAGCCTTGTGGTTACATTGGGCCCACCTGGATATTTCAGGCTACTCTCCCCATCTCAAGAGCCTTAACTCAATCACATCTGCAAAGTCCCTTTTGACATATAAAGAAACAGTTACAGGTTTCAGGCAATGATGTTGGCTAATTGAATTTAAATAAAAAATAAATAAAATGCTTTTGGAGGGGTTGTATGTCAATGTTGACTTGTTCATTCACTGATTCAGTAGACATTTTTTGAGGCCTTACCATGTTTCAATTCTGGGAAGTATGAGAACGTATATTGGAGTAGGTAAAATAATGGTCCCATAAATTTGTCCACATTCTAATCCCTGAAATCTGTAACTGTTTTTTCACCTTGCTCACCTGTTCTCTCTCTCACTCTCAAATAAATAGATAAATCTTTTTTAAAAAAATAAAGGAAGGCAAAAGGATAGTGAAGAATGAGAAACAGTATTATGTAAAAAGGCTAATGCTTAGGGCTTAATCAGCAGAATTGAGGAAAGATGTGAGGCAAGGAAAACCCCCATCATCAAGACTACCAAAACCACTATTATTATAGCAGCCAATGTGCATGTGTGTGTTTTGGAAAGCATCATCTTTTTTTAGCATCAGTTTGTTTCAGAAGGAAACTTTGTAACATTTTCATAAGTGATTACTTTTTAGAGGGGTAATTTAGTTGTCCTGATAAACATACATAAAATTATTTTGAAATGATGACTTAAATTGTGTTTGGGCACAAATTGGATATTCACATGTAATTAATTAACTGTAAAGTTTTCTTTGTTTTTTTACATTCATGAAGCTTTATTTTTCCCCC